TTTCATAAGACATACAGTACATGACAGTGATAAACATGATATGCACTTGTTTAAGTCGCTCAGGACAAATGCATCTGCTAAATGCTATAAATGTCAATTTAAACATTAGGCATACCAAATATTTCCATACGCGTTTCCTGTCTGGAGATTCAGAAACGCCAAAATCCGCAATCAAATGTCAGAAATCTCTCATCAAAAAAAAAAAGAAAAAATATCTCTCTTAAAAAAGCTCTATACTTTTACTGTTTGACGACTGTTGTCTTAATTGGTCTGCTTTCATCTGCTGATACTTTAATGATCTCCTTTATGTCTCCTGAGCAATTAAAGAGTTCACAGACTCGCAAAGACCTTTACATTATGTATTCATGTATTCACGTCAGCGGTTTGCGTTATGTAACCCATGCTGATATTTACGGCTGCAGCAACCAATTAGTCAACAAATTAAAAGTCCCAATTCGTTTTTTTTTTCTTTTTTATTCCATGGCGGGAAAAAAAACCTGAATTGCGAAATGGAAAAATGTCAGAATTGTATGATTTCAACTTGGAATTGCAATTAAAAAAAGTTTATATCTTGCTTTTATATCTTAAAAAAGTTTATATCTGAGTTTATATCTTGTAATTCTGACTTTTTTTCTTGGAATTGCGAGAAACAAAGTCTAAATTGTGAGATAAAAATTCGCAATTCAGTTTTTTGTTCCGTTTGGAAGCCCGTTTCCGCCACTGAATAAAAAATAAAAGAGGTAATTGCGACTTTTTATCTCACAATTCTGACTTTTTTTCACAGAATTGTGAGATATAAACTCGCAATTCTGAGAACATATAAGTCTTTTTTCCCCCCTCAAAATTGGACTTTAACTCGCAATTGGGAGTTTATATCACGCAATTCTGACTTTATAACTCACAATTGTGAGTTTATATCTCACAATTCTGAGAAAAAAAGTCAGAATTCTGACTTTATATCTCGCAATTCTGACTTTATAACTCGCAATTGTGAGTTTATATCACGCAATTCTGACTTTATAACTCACAATTGTGAGTTTATATCTCACAATTCTGAGAAAAAAAGTCAGAATTCTGACTTTATATCTCGCAATTCTGACTTTATAACTCGCAATTGTGAGTTTATATCACGCAATTCTGACTTTATAACTCACAATTGTGAGTTTATATCTCACAATTCTGAGAAAAAAAGTCAGAATTCTGACTTTATATCTCGCAATTCTGACTTTATAACTCGCAATTGTGAGTTTATATCACGCAATTCTGACTTTATAACTCACAATTGTGAGTTTATATCTCACAATTCTGAGAAAAAAAGTCAGAATTCTGACTTTATATCTCGCAATTCTGACTTTATAACTCGCAATTGTGAGTTTATATCACGCAATTCTGACTTTATAACTCACAATTGTGAGTTTATATCTCACAATTCTGAGAAAAAAAGTCAGAATTCTGACTTTATATCTCGCAATTCTGACTTTATAACTCGCAATTGTGAGTTTATATCACGCAATTCTGACTTTATAACTCACAATTGTGAGTTTATATCTCACAATTCTGAGAAAAAAAGTCAGAATTCTGACTTTATATCTCGCAATTCTGACTTTATAACTCGCAATTGCGAGTTTATATCTCACAATTCTGACTTTATAACTCTCAATTGCGAGTTTATATCTCACAATTCTGTGAAAAAAAGTCAGAATTGTGAGATAAAAAGTCGCAATTACCTTTTTTAAAATTTTTTATTCAGTGGCGGAAACGGGCTTCCATAGTTCCGCCATGGGATAAGAAATAAAAAAATATTTGCGACTTTTTCTCTAACAATTATTTTTTTTTTTTTCGAAATGGCAAGTTTATATCTCGCAGTTCTGACTTTTTCTCAGAATTTCAAGAAAAAGAAATTCAGAATTGTGAGATATAAACTTCAAATTGCGAGAAAAAAAGTTGCAATTAGCTTTTTTAATTTATTTTTTATCCCATGTTGGAAACAAACATCCATATCTTTCATAAAATTAAATTTGGTGAAAATATTGGCAGATTCTGTTTCACATCACTTGTAACGTGGCAGATCATTTATGAGCCGCTCACCTCCATGCACACACACACACACACACAGGGGCCACATTCATCTAAAATGAAATTAAACCAGTTCCCTTTTTCAGCAGCTGCAGTAATGATTGTGTTTCTTTAATAGCGTATAGTGAGAGGGTATACTTTCAGGGAATTACTCACGCTCTCAACGCAAAGTGCTCGACATTGGCCTGTGAATGAGGAGCTGTGTTTGCTCAAGCGAACTCCAGAGCACAATCAGGTTTTGCGAGATTGGAGGTAGCTCTGGCTCGAACCGACTGGAGAGCGGCCAAGCTTTTGCAGGAGTTTCTCTTTTCTTCTGTGTGATATTTACTTTACAGCTATTCAGAGCAACCAACCGGGGCGAGACAGACAAGCCCGGAAAAAAGGCTCACAAAGTCCCTCTTTAACACATATTCTTCTTGTATTGACACAACAGTGTGGTTCCATTTAAATCGGGTTCTTTAGTGGAGATGTTGAGCTACGTATGGACTGGAAAGGGTGGTTCACGTGATGGGGAAGGGGGTGGACGTGGGGGCATGGCGTGACTCGTATTCTTTATTGCAGGATAGAGGATTGAGTCTGTCCTCTTTTATGGGAAATGAATGAATAAACATTGGCGGGTCATGCTTTTGTCGTGACTCACAGACATAGTTTCAAGCATGATAGGAATAATAGGGAAATAAAGCAGTTGTGTAATTTGACTGTGAATTATTTTGGATTCATGCCACGGTGTAAAACAACGGCATGTACGGGCAGGTAGAAAGTCGATTTACTTCCCCTCCTTTTGTGTGCCATGTAGCTATTGTGAAAACTGAGATCTCTGTGATCAGAGACCCTGATCGCTGATGAATCTCACCCACATACTGATCTGCTCATTTGTTTTGCTGTGCTGTTTGGTAAATAATGAGGTTTAATTGTTTGGTTGTACATTAAAGGGACAGTTCGCCCAAATATGAAACTTCGGTCATCATGTTGTTTGAAACATGTTTTCTGTGGATGTACATAATATTTTTGATAATAGCATCATAAAAGTATTTTATACAACATGTGTGCTATATTTCATGTCTCTAAAGACATACAACAGCTTTTTGGGTAGAACAGACTGTAATTTTAATCTTGCCTTCAGCTGTAGATCTCAAATCTCACTTACACTTCAATGAATAATGACTATTATAATTAACTGTTTCTCTCACAAAACTATCAGGTTTCAACCAACGTGAGGGTGTGTAGATGATGACTGAATGTTCATTATTTGCTGAACTGTCCCTTTAAGAGTGTAGTTCACCCCACCCCCTCCAAATATGACACTGTCATCATATATTCACTCTGATGTCATTTTAGGATATTTTGGAGGATCTACAAACTGACCTTTTCCATACAATGAAAGTAAACAGTGACCAACATAACAAAAACACCATTAAAGTACTATGAACATAGTCTATATGACTTGTCATGAAGCCATACGATTGCTTTGTGTTCAAATTTAAGTTGTTATTTGAGCTCTGAAACTTCATTGCATCTCTTTATCACACAAAGCTGACTTCAAAAGACTTTAAATATAGAGCATAAGTATGGAAAAACAGTCTTTTTTTGGAGCTTGGCATCGTTCATCCCATTCACTTTCATTGAACTGAAAAGAGCAGCGTGAACATTTTGAGTAACATCTCTTTTTGTGTTACCTGGAAACAAGAAAAATCATACAGGTTTGAAACAACAAGGAGAGTAAATTCACCCAAAAATGACACTTCTGTCATAATTTATTCACTCTAATGTCATTTTAGGATATTTTGGGGAATCTACAAACTGATCTTTTCTATACAGTGACAAAACCACCATAAAAGTACCATGAAAATGCTCCAGGTGACAAATGATCTGAAACCATACAATAGATTTGTGTATGAAATTTAAGTTGCTTTTTGATTGTTTTACAGTGATTTTTATGCTACTTTCCCATTTACTTTCATTGTATAGAAAGAGCAGCTTGAACATTTTGTATAACATCTGCTTTTGAGTTTCTCGGAAGAATGAAAAAAACAGACAGGTTTGCAACAACATGAGGGTGTGTAAATGATGCTAAAATGTTCATTATTTGGTGAACTATCCCTTTAAAAGAGTGAAACGTGCCAAAAAATGACACTTCAGTCATCATTTATTCACTCTAATGTAATTTTAAGAAATTTTGGGAATCTACAAACTGATCTTTTCCACACAATGAAAGTGAACACAGACCAAAAATGACAAAAACACCATAAATGTGCCATGAAAAATAGTCCATATGCCTTTTCTGCTTTATTTGCAAGCGTTCTGAGACCACATACAATAGATTTGTGTCCAAAATTTAAGCTGTTATTAATCTATATATAACATCTGCTTTTGAGTTTCTCTGAAGAAAAAACAGGTTTGCAACAACACAAGGGTGTGCAAATGATGCCAAAATGTTTTTTATTTGGTGAACTATCCCTTTAAAAGAGTGAAATTTGCCTTAAAATGACACTTCTGTCATCATTTATTCACTCTAATGTCATTTTAAGAAATGATGTCCATATGACTTTTCTGCTGTATTTGCAAGCGTTCTGAGACCATACAATAGATTTGTGTCCAAACATTTAAGTTATTCTTTGATATCATTTGCCCCACAAAACAATCATATGACTTCAAAAGACTTGAAATATAGAAAATGGATTAGTGCTTTTTTTATGCTACTTTCCCATTCACTTTCACTGTATAGAAAGAGCAGCTTGAACATTTTGCATAATGTCTCTTTTTGAGTTTCTCAGAAGAAAGATCAAACATACAGGTTTGCAACAACATGAGAGTGTGCAAATGATGCCAGAATGTTCATTTTTGAGTGAACTATCCCTTTAAAGTTGGTCAGAATCGAGCAGTAGGTGTATTAACTGCAATTTCTGTCTAATATTGTTCGGTAGGACACAGACAGAAACTGGAAGACCCCCCTAAACCGCCGCTGTTCTCCGAGCGCCTGAGCGAGTTAGAGCGTTTACGCCAGACCAGCATGAGAGTTGCCGTGCAAACCCAGAGTCCCCGGCCGTCTCTCAACGCCACGCAGAACTCCTTCAATCCGCAGGGGCAAACTCAGATCTCAGGTAAACCGGCCCGTCCCTTCAACGCAACTTCAGCCTGTCTGGCTGTCAGCCATGACCTTTAATGGTTTATGTACTGTACAAACATCAGTGTTTGGAGAACAGGTTGGTTTATTATTAAGAGGCCTGATTTGCTGAAGATAAAGGAGAGTGGGTGAGAATGATGCAAGAAACAGAAATGGCGAATTCGACAACGTCAATCAGATTTAAACAGGAGATACTGATGGACGTGCCAAATCTGACAGTCGCAAATCCTTTTGTCTGCTTTTACGGGAATGAGGCTTTATCTTTGTTTGGGATTGGCTGCTTACATCACCTTAAAGGGATAGTTCTCCCAAAAATGAAAACTCATTGTTTTCTCACCCTCCTTTCAATCCAAACCTGAGTTTCTTTCTTCCATGGAAGACAAAAGATGTTCTGATGAATCTTTGTGCTTCTCTTCATCTTCAAACCACGTCTGTGAAGGACAAAAAAGCACCATGAAAGAAGTCCATTTAGAAGACTTCAGAAATCCTCTGATAGTTTTAAGTGAGGAAGAGACCCAGATATCATGATAGCACTCAAATCTCATTCAAAATGGTGCAGACCAGGTTCTGGTGAAGACTGATGAAGATTCCTCTTTTTTTGTTCCACGGGGAAAAAAAAACAGCTTACGGGTTTGGAACGACATGAGAGTGAGTAAATAATGACAGATTTTCATTTCTGGGTGAACTACTGCTTTAATTCCATTACATTTGTCCAAATATTTTCATTAGTTCCTGCTTCACTTTTGGCATTTTGGAGCGTGGGCAATTTTTATTTTTTTCTCATATGTGCTCAGCTTTAATGTTTGCATAATGTTTGCCATTCTCTTGGAGCGTCTCCAGCCCCTCTCCTGTCAGAGCGGACGCTGTGTTTACTAGAATACTGTAGAAAGCAAACAGGAAACCGTTCTTGGCTCTGAATGTGATTAAGCTGACAATTAAACAAAACTCACCCGCTGCCTGAAATGCATTTTTATTTATTTATTTATATAAATGTAATTTATTTTAATTCAGTTGTTCTCAATGATGATTCTCGTTATTGTACTATTTTGTGCTTTGTGTACATATTATTTTATTTATACATTTATTTAATCAGCAAAAATGCAATAGCACATTAAAGGCAATTAAACAAATATTTATTTAAATTGTTCTCAATTGTGCCATTTTATTCTATGTATTATTATTATTATTATTATTATTTTATTTTACCTTTATTTAATCTGCAAAAATGTAATAGCACATTAAAGGCAGTATAAATATTGCACTATTTATATACAGTAGTCAACATTTGAAGTGGATCGAAACCTTTCATCAAAGATGTCCTAAAACCAAAACAATACCAGTTCTTGTACAACTTTGATGAACTTCTTTAATGTTGACTACTGTATATCTATAAAAAATTATAAAATATAGATCTTTCTTTTATTTTTCTGCAAAACATAAATATATAAACCATTTTTTTTATTTTAGAGTGAAATATAACCATGTTCTTGACAGCTTTCACAAGATTGGCTCTTTTTTGTGGTGGTGTGTGATACCGTTCATTTTTGAGGTCACTGTTGTAAACATCACTGAGCTATAAAAGCACTGCTGTGGTCCTGAAAGAGGAGGCTACAATCACACCCAAACACATCTTTAAGGATGCTGTTGTGCAGATGTTGACTGGAGTCGTCTCATTTATCATGCTCACAGATCCGCGGCAGGCGCAGTCCTCTCCGCCCTGGTCCTACGAGCAACCGTACACTCCTTACCTGAGCCAAATGACATCTCCATCCATCCACTCCACCACCCCGCTGTCTTCCACCCGCGCCACGGGCCTGCCCACCATCAGCGACGTGCCAAGACGCCTCTCAGGTAAACTAACACCTTATAGAAAAGACAAATCACAAATAAGAGCTCTATTATCTCGAATGTTTCTTTAGACAGCAATGAGACTAAGACAACGTTTCAAACTGTGCTCAGATTGGCCAAAATGCCAAAGTCTCAAAATAAACTCAAGAAACTCTCAACAAGTTCTCTCAAGATCATATCCACATTCATTGTATGCACTACTGGTCCAAAGTTTGGAATAAATGTGATTTTAAAAAAAATGTTTTTAAAGAGGTTTCTTCTTACCAAGGCTGCATTTATTTAATTAAAATAAAAAAGTAATATTGTGAAATATTTTTGCAATTTAACATTTTAAAATGTAATTTATTTCTGTGATGCAAAGCTGTTTTTTCAGCATCATTACTCCAATCTTCACTGTCACATGATCCTTCAGAAATCATTCTAATATGCTGATTTGCTGCTCAATTACTATCAATTATTGTTAGCACTCAATTATTAATAATGGTTCTTATTAATATCAATGCTGGAAACAGCTTTTTATTTTTGTTTAGGATTATTTGATGACTAGACAATTCAAAATAACAGCATTTATTTTAAATAGAAATCTTTTGTAACATTATAAATGTTTTTGTCACTTCTGATAATTTTTTTCAGGCTGTTTCAGCAACCATCTATCATATAGAGACTCATTTTTCTTATCCAATCAATTTTAGATGAATCAAAATCAAGCCCCGTCCTACTTTTTATGCATTGAATATTCTGTTTCACTCGTCGACAGATATCAGATTACAGAAGTAAAGTGAGTTTTTCACTTGTTGACTCCACATGAATCACAACTGCGTTATAAAAGGGCAACCTCTGAGCAATTAAATTCTCCTCTGGCCCATATCGCTTTCTCTGCCAGCCACTCATTTCAGAAATGTGGGAAATGGAGTGTCTCAACACTGTATTTACTTCGTGTTAGCCGTGAACATTTGTCCAAACACTCATTCGCTTCTTTCCCCGCTGAAGTCGAATCAAAGCATTTTTGCCGGCGTTAACTTTCTGCTTTGTAAGCGTTTGTTACGTCGCCCGTGGGCAAATGTCTTCCAAGCACTAGCACCTTTAAAAATAGAGAGCATTTGAAAGAATATCTCCCCTAACCCCCGTCCTCTCCGATGGAGACTTTGAACTCAACTCTCTTTTGAAACGCCTTGAAAAGGAACAATACAGCAGACTAGAGTTTCTGACTCACAAACCTCAAAAGGTAAACGGGTAGTTGATGCATAACATGTTTGTTCATGGGATTTTATGCTTTATGAATTTATTTGAATGCAGGGAAAGTGTATGTCATAACTTCTGTAACTGATCACTTTTATGTTATTTTATTAATACAATCTTTTTCTCTTTTTTTTAATGATCATGCAGTGTTAGATGCATTTTAGATGCACATTAATTTATTACATTTTAGATGCACATTAATTTATTATGTATTTTATGTATAATTTTATTAAAAAAATGTCATCCACACTAGATCATTTTAAGTGAACCTGTAGTGTGACAAATGCATTTTTAGAATATACAAATATTCCACATAGCATTTAAATTCACATGAGTTCATAACGGTTGCATGACCAATAATTACAAAAGAATGTTGTTTAAAATAGTTTTAGATGGGGTTTTTAAAATAGTTTTGGATGGGCTTTCCAAAAGCAATTCTCGTCAACTACCTAAAAGCTCTCGAGTACAAACTTTCGGAAGAGTTTGCTGTGCCTTTATTAATGAAATGGGCACCAGATTGTGGTCCACCCACCCTTTGGGATTCATTTTGAAACAAACACACAGCGTGGACATTTTCTTTAATGCACCTGTTTGACTCTCCGCCAGGTTGGTTTTTGAACTCTTTTTTTTTTTCTTCTTCTTTCTTTCTCTTGGCTCCCCACCCTAACTGTTTTCTTTGGGCCTGGAGCGAATGCGAAAGTTTAAATGACTTCTTGGTGTGGCTGCTTTTTGAACCCCGGCCAGCTGCCTCATTGGGTTTGATTAGTTTAGATTTCACCCGGCTTTCATCTTGGAGATGTCAGCCTTTGTTCTTTCCTCAAAGAGACACACGGACCTCTTGGTCCTAACGCCCCCTATTCTTCCTCGGAGCGCCGCTGAATGGCTCGGTCTCGAGAAGACACGTCCCGAACGCATCGCACCCTCTGCAGCTGCTTGCGTGGCTATTCTTCTCAACCGTGGGCTCGTGTTACGCCTTTCAGCCAGAGACCTGGTGACTGACAAGGACGCAGATGAAGGCATGCATAATATTACACAGAGAGCGATGAATTATCAGAGTGGGATCACGGGACACTGGAGGACTGTAAAGAACTTTGATTTTCCCGTTAGTGAAGTCTGCTTCAGGAGGCTGGTTTAAAAGCACGTTTGGTGGACTCAGTGGTACAATTCCTCAGTACTTTGATACAGTATATGCAATAGCACAGAATGCATGTACAGATCAAATGAATACCTTGATAAAAAGTGGCTTTGGATAAATGATTGTAAATGAGTAAATGTAAATTCTTCAGAGAATACCATGGTACATGTCCTCAAAACATGGCACTTTGATATTTACCATGGTTGCTTTGATTTGATAAATGTGTTATGGTATTTAAATGGTACTCAAAGATATTTTAAAAAAATACCATATTGTATGTCCACAAAACCATGGTATTTCCATGGTACTTTGATATATACCATGGTACCTAATGATTACCCTTACAAAATGTCCTAAAAAAATTAGTAAAATACAGTAAAATTGTGAAATATTATTACAATTTCAAATAACTGTTTTCTATTTGAATATCTATTAAAATGTAATTTATTCCTGTGATCAAAGCTGAATTTTCAGCATCATTACTCCAGTCTTCAGTGTCACATGATCCTTCAGAAATCGTTCTAATATGCTGATTTGCTGCTCAAGAAACATTTCCGATTATCATCAATGTTTAAAACAGTTGTGCTGCTTCATATTTTTGTGAAACTGTGATAGGTTGATGAACAAAGTTTCTAAAACCCCAAACCCCAAACGTTTAAACAGTAGTATACATGCACCAAAACATTCAAAACACCATGATATGTCTTTGTTAGTGGCTTCCGTACCTCTTAATGTGCTCTTAAAGTAAGCAGGCAGTCTTGTAGCCGGCAACCCTGAAGCAACCTGAGGTCAAAGGTCGCAAGATCACACTGATGATAGGTCACAGCTTGAGCCATCATGATCCTCTTGGTTTCTAGCCTTGAGCTTGGGCTACTAGACCACACCATCCCTGTAATATAAAGTGATTGATGTTGCATTAAGTTTAGCCAAAAAGGGTCTGGCAAGAGCCGATAGCATAATGGGTTCATTCTCGTGAATGTCTGCAGCGAGGAGCGATGTTTAATGGTGATTGAAGGTTGTATATGTGAATTTCTGTCATTGTTTTGGAAATGTGACTTGGGTCTCCTCTCTTCTGCACTGTCTCCCTGAAGTGTCTTTTTTGTTTGGTTTGAAATGTCAAGAGTTGATAATGTGGAGAGACAATCTGCTCATAATTGGCCACACATGTTCTGTAAAGTTTGCCGAACTGTCACTCATAAAGCGGCGCTCATGGACGACACGCGACCGCTCCTAAACCAGCAGACAAGCTGACGGGATTTATCATCATAAAACAGTACTTTACCTCAGCAACAGGGAGAGAGGAGAGAAGAGATGCGGTTAGCTCAGAGACTTTGTTTGAAGTGAAGGAAAGGAGAAATGGACAAGATTTTTGGTTTGTTTGAAGTCGAGGAAAAAAGGGAGAATGGAAATGGGAAACAGTAAGGTAAGGAACAGGAAGACAGAAGGAAAGAGATTTTGGTTTGTTTGAAGTAAAAGGAAAGAAAAGGGGAAATTGATTTGGGGAAAAGTCCGGAAAGGGGAAATGGAAAGAAAAGGAAAGTAGCTGGTTTGAAGTAAAAGAAAAAAGAGAAATAGAAAAGGGAAAGGAAAATATTCTGCTTTGCTACAAGTAAAGAAAAGGTGAAATGGAAAGGAAAAGATTTTAGTTTGTTTAAATTAAAGGGAAGAAAAGGGTCAAATAACCTGGGAAAGGTCAGGAAAGGGGAAATAAAAAAGGAAAAGGAGTTTTAGTTTGTCTGAAATAAAGGAAAGAAAAGAGGAAAAGGTCAGGAAATAGAATCTGGACAGGAAAGGGAGTTTTAGTTAGTTTGAAGTAAATGAGAAAAGGGTAAATGGGAATTGAAAGTGGAAAACATTTTGGTTTGTTTGGAGGAAAGAAAAAGGGAAATGGGAAATAGTACAGAAAGGAACAGGGAAATGGAAAGGAGAACAGTTTTGGTTTGAAGTAAATGAAAAGGAAATATGGAAAATGGACACAAAAGGGGAAACAGAAAGGAAAAGACTTGATTGATTCAAGTAAAGTAAAGGAGAAATAGTAAGGTAAAGAACAGAGAAATGTCCCCAAAAGTAGATTTTGGTTTGAAGTAAAGGAAAGAAAAGAAAAGAGGAGATTGAAATGGGAAACTTCAAGAAAGGGGAAGAGGAAAGGAAAATCATTTGGGTTTGTATGAAAGGGGAAATGGAAAATGAAAGGTAAGAAAATTGGAAATGATTTTTCTTTCTTTGAAGTAAAGGAAAGAGAAGGGGAAACTGAAATAGGAAAGGGGAAATAGAAAGGAAAAGAAAAGAGTTTGGGGTTGTTTGTTTGAAAGGAAAGGGGAAATGGAATGGAAAGGAAAAGAGGAGAGGAGTTTGGGACTGTTCGTTTATAGCCTTTAATTTAGCAGGCGGCTCCATTTGAAAAGCAGATCATGATGAATACAGAGTGCAAAAAGAGACAGATGTGGAGATGATAAGACGTTCCTCTGGGATTCTCTCTCCTGGGGTTCTGGGAGTCACAGCCCATCAGTGGTTTATAATTTAAAAACATCTTGTGGTTCTAAGAGAGTAGATCGGCCCTTCTCTTTGGCTAATCGCAGATATGCCACCACATCTGAGACTGCTCATTATGCATCCTGTGGAAACTGTGTTTTTCTCTAAGCGTTTCCATGTGCGCTCCCAGTTTATTCCGACATTTCTCTTTGATATTCATATAAATGCGAGGATGCGTGTTTGTGCATGTGAGCGTGAACGCACATGATGCATTCGCATACAAACCTCCAGACAACCTTCAGCAAACGGCGCTGAAGAAACAAACAGCCAGAAGCCAAACTCGAAATCTTTCAGCAGCACGTCAGCGCCGTTTGACAGTTAGTTTGCATATTGATCCGGTGACATTTTTGCAGCATTAGTCTTCATCTTGACCTTGAATCAACCCAAGCATTGTGTAATTCAGGTTGCGAATAAACATTTAATTCATGTTTATGTTTTGCTAGGGCAATTAAACGCTGACATGCAAGATGAGCCAGTTTCTCTTGTCGGTTGGTTAAAATTTATTGCATTTTCCTTAATTAAAAATCCTAAGACTGGGCTTGTAAAGAGAATCTGTTCATGTGGAGTCACAACAGGAACTTCTGAATCAATGCGCAACAATATGAACTTTTTTCTTGCACTGTGAAGTGTCATTCTGACGCTTTCATGGCTTGGGATATTTCAAACACTGACTCGTATAATAAAAAAAACAAAACATTTTCACTCTAATCAAATTGTTTGAGAGAGCCTCTTCATATTTACTTCCATTATTTTTCACATTCATTATTTGGAAGAGAAATGCAGATAAAGTTGCATGCACTCCATCCTTTTTTCAGTTTATAAAGGGGAGTTTTGTGTTGACAGGCTAGTTAGTTTGAGCTGTATGCAAATTAAGTTTGACAGCGCCCTCTTCTGTCTGATTTAACAATGTCCCTTTCCTCACAGATACCCGTTTCCCCAGTCCCAGAATGCACTATCCTGCGACGTTCACGTACACCCCTACGCCGGTCACCTCGGGCATGTCTCTGGGCATGTCCAGCACCACCCACTACCACACCTACCTGCCTCCGCCGTACCCCGGCTCCACCCAGAACCAAAGTGGGCCCTTCCAGACCAGCAGCACGCCGTACCTCTACTACGGCGCCTCGTCCGGGTCGTACCAGTTCTCAATGGTGCCGGGCGGAGATCGATCCCCCTCCAGGATGCTGCCGCCTTGCACTAGCGCATCCACCGGCAGCACCCTCATCAACCCCAACCTGCCCAATCAGACGGACGGAGGCGAGGCAGACGGCAGCCACAGCAGCTCGCCAACCATTCTCAACTCCAGCGGCAGGATGGACGAGTCCGTTTGGAGACCATATTGAGACGGTCTGGTCAAACGAGACCTCAACGCAGCACTGTTAGCCTTAAAGACAGAGTGCGAGAGACAGTTGCATGAAAGAATCATCGGATTTGAAGCACAAATTCATTGGTACTCATTGGTACAGGTACAATATTGAATGATTGCAGTGTATTTTTATGACTACACTGACGTTTTTTAATTCTATAAAACAGATGACCCTTACAGGGAATGATTTGCGGCATTAAAGGGATAGTTCACCCAAAAATGGAAATTTGATGTTTATCTGCTTACCCCCAGGGCATCCAAGATGTAGGTGACTTTGTTTCTTCAGTAGAACACAAACGAAGATTTTTAACTCAAACCGTTGCAGTCTGTCAGTCATATAATGGAAGTGAATGGGAATAACTTTGAGAACGCTGTTGAGAACGCTGTTGGCTGTTGAGAACGCGCTCAGGACGTGCTCAGGACAGTTCGGACATTGCGGTGAAAATCAGAGGTAAAAAACGATATAAATACTGTTCAGTTTCTTGCACAGACCGATCGTTTCGTGTCTTTACACATCAATTT